CAGTCCTGCTGGGAGCTGGCGCCGGCCGCCCCGCAGCGTGGCTTCGCCCTGCCCCGGGGCGGCGTGATGCTGGGCAGCATCCTGTCCCCTGGTGTCACCCGTCCAGTCCTTCTCCAGCCCCGTGACTCACATCACCCTGCAAGCACTGGAAACTCCCTCCTCGCTCCCACCCTCTTTCCCAACAACAATTTTTTTCCACTCATCGTGGCGGGGAGTTTTGAGGCCACTTCCAGAAACGTCCCAGTGACGGCTCTTTCCCCAGCACACGACAAAGGAAGGGCAGCTCGCCGGGCTGCCGGGGTGTGCCGGGGTGCCCGCTGCTGGTGCCACCTTTCCCGGGGTGCCCCAGGGCCACGGCTGGAGGGGTGCCCGTCCTGTAAAGGACTCAAAGGGCCCCAAGTTATCTGCAAGTGGCCCCTGCTCTGGCCAAAAGCGTGGCAGCCACAAGCCTGTTTGCTTTCTGGGCTCACATTTCAGAAGCTTTTCCACAACGGGGAGGGTTGAAAGTTGTTTTGGTTTTCTGGTTCTTTTCAAAAGGCAAATCCTGGTGTGGCCCCAGGGACAGGACTGGGCGAAACTCCCCTCCTGGGCACTCTCGGAACCTTCCACCCACGCTGTCCCCTACCAGGGGACAGGAGGAATGGGGTCTGCAAACCAGATCCTGCAGCATCGCTGGATCGAGGAGCCCTTCCCGGGGGGAGCACCTGCCCGTCCCAGCCCCCTGACTCATTTGCTGGCGCCGGGGTCTACCCAGATCCTGCCTGTGTCTGTGGCTTTGCCTTGTCCGCCCCGGTTTCAGTGCGTGGCGGTGCCGGCCCCGTGCCCTGCTGCTCCGGGGTGTCCCTGTGCAGGCTGGTGGCAGTGTTTGTGCTGGGACCGGGAGCTTGGATGCTGTCTGGGAAGGGCCTGGCAGCGGCGGGCAGGCTGGCTTGGCATGGTGGCCCTCTCTCTGGGTATTTCAGGCCATGATCTCAGCCTGGTGGCATCCTTCCGCTCTGGCCACGGGAAGAATCTGATTTCCCACAGGCACAGCAGCAGCTGCCCATGTGCCGGGTCCAGCGCTGCTCCGGCTAAGCCGGGCAAGGGAAAGGCATCCCATCCCTGGCATCTTCGTGGGTGGGGGAGCAGACTGGGACACCTCTGCTCCAAGGCAGACGCCTTTCTGGAGGGCAGGCCCTGTGGCACGGGCCACAAGCCCCAGCGGGAGCAGAGAAGGACGGGTCAGCCCTCGCAGGGGCACGTGTGTCCCCATGCCTCGGCCTCCTGGCGGGCAGCGGCTTCCCGCTCCCTGCTGGGGGCTGGTTCCCCTCACCAGCCCCGGCTCCCCGGGCCTGGTTTCAACACGGTGAGGGTACTGAGGTGGACCATCGCCCTGGTCTAAGGGCCACGATTCTGCCTCTGAAGCCCCAGCAGCTCTTTGGGTGCCCCCAAATATGGGGGCTTTTCCTTATCCACAGCCCCTGCCGAGCATCCTCTGGATTTTCACCTCTTTTTAGATAATACCCAACCGCAGGCAGGCAGGGGCACCCACATGCCAGGGCTCACTAACCCCTGGGATGCCACTGCCTGGGGTTAACCACGTGCAGGCACCCAGCCCGTGCTGCCTGATCTTCCACACGGGCGCTGCTGTCGGGTTTCTGCATTCCCTATCCTGAAATGACAGCGGGGACAGGAGATGCAAGGAGGGGTGACAGCTCTGAAGCCAGTGAGCAGCAGCAGCAGCAAGGATGGGTGGCATCTCCATGTGCTTGGTCGCACCGTGCTGGAGGCAGTGGCTGGCAACAAGCTCCAGGTGAAGCGTGAAAGTCTGGGATGGCAGAAAAAAGTGTGTGTCCGAGGGGATGGTGGTGTTATGAGAGCTGGCTGGCTGGTTTCTTCTGGATCTGCTGTTAAAATGCTGCTGAAACCTTCCTCCGGGGCAGCGGCGGAGCGTGCTGGGGGCTGAGCTGTCAGCTGCTGCCCTTGGCAGAGGAGCAGCATGTCCCCGTGCAGGGGAGAGGAGATCCAGGGTGGCTTCACTGCATGCCAGCCAGGTGCCTGCGAGCACAGGGTGGGAATTTTCTATGTTGCAGGACAAGGGGTTAATTGCTGCCCCCGGGGAGGCCGGGAGGCTTGCTGCATTGGCACAGAGGGACCAGGGAGCTGCAGCTGGGAGGCAGCAAGGACGAACGCTTGCTAAGCCAGGGAGCCTAAGCCGGTTATTGATATCCTTCCCTTCTATGCTGGGCTGTGGTCTTAAACCTACCACATCACATTCCTCAAATGGGATCAGGGACCATCCTGGCTCTGGAGCTGGAATTATGGCAAAGCCTTTTTTACAGTAGACATTAAGAGAAATGCATTCTCCTCGGCGGGACAGTCTGGCCCACGGATAGGCGACATGAGGAGCGCAACGCCCAGCAGTGGTGAGCAACATCTGAGGGTGCTTGAAGCAGCCCAAGCCTGGTTGGAGGCCAGGGGGTGGATAGGATGAGCCTTCAGACCCCCTTCCAGC